TTATTTTGTGTATTAATGTTTCCATGAATAAATGCCTATGTAGGATTTCCTATGACCTTGTACCTTCAAAAAATCCATAGACTCATGGTGCAGGTTCATTTTCCGATTTACTAGATATTGTTAGCAAAATGAGTGTTCCACTTGTGCTAATAATGAGCAGGTGTTAATTCCTAGCTCTTCAATAACTTCAACTGTATGTGGAAGAACTAGAAATTATGTGAATCTGATGCATGTGAAAAAAACATAATAGTGATTAAACACATTTACATCTGTGATTCGACATGATATTGATTAATACATATGTTTTCTTTTTTTCGATTTTGATATAAAGGTAACAGTTTGGTAGAATATTTGTTGAAGAACCTTTTTTATATTCATAGAAATGGTTTTACATAATGATTTTTTTTTCCTTGAAAGCTTAGTTAGCACCTTATAAAGTTAGTTTTGTACAGTGAAAAGGAATTATCAACATTTTATAGTTCTTTTTAAAAACATTTTATTTATTATTTTAATTTTATGTGTATGAGTGTATTGCCTGCATGTATGTGAGTGCACCCATGTCATGCAATGCCGTGGAGGTCAAAAGAGGGCTTTGGATTATCCTGGAACTGGAGTTAAGGACAGTTCGTAGCTGCCATGTGGGTGTTGGGAATCGAACCCAGGTCCTCTGCAAGAGCAGTCAGTGCTCTTAACTGCTAAGCCATCTCTCCAGCCCCAATATAGTTCTTAAGTGTTTATTATGCATGATAAAAACTTTTTTGACTTTTACAAAAACTTTATTGAGAATTTCATACATATATATATAAGGTATTTTGATCAAATCCATGTCCACTCCCTCCCCTCCAACATTACCCCCTCTGAAGAGGTAACCCTAAAATATTTTAAGGATTATATTCAAGCTCCCAAATACTTTTTGACATTTTGGCCTTTGGAACAGAGTATGTTGCTAAGAGGCCCAAGGACATTTTGACTTTTAGCCAAGAAACTGGCTACTTTTCTTTGGGATCTTTTTACTCTAACTGCCTAGCCAATTCCTACTTCCTATTCTTAACACACCATCCTCTGAAGGGGTTACCCAAGTTGCCAGTAGAGAATAGGGACTCAGACTGCTCTGGCTTCTTCCATACTGAACAGGGACGCAGGGTGAGGCAATTGGAGTACCCCTTCAGTGGGTCTGTCTAAAAGACTCTGAAATTGTGTAATTCTTGTCTCTAATGGGAAAAGAGTCATTGAATCATGAATAGGAGATGTGAAGGAGAAGTAAAGGCAATAGTAATTAGCATTACAATTCTAGAGAGGGAACTAGAAAAAAGTCAGAACAGGGCAATTTTCAAATGTTAATATGGGCGTCCATTGGAGTTTGTTGACAAAGGCTTCCAAAAGCATCCCTCTATTTGGTTCTTCCTCATTTTTCTTTTGTTTTCCAAGGTTGGGAAGAGTGACTGGATACTCAGGTGAGGGTCCAGTGACCCTGCTTGGCTCTCCTTTAATGAATGAGTACAACCCTCAACAAGCCCAATTGTGACTATGTTTAGCGATCAGGCTCAGATGAAGTCATCATGATGGGAGTTATTTCATGCAGAAGGGACTGCTGTATAGCATCATCTTATTAAAAGGACCTGGAATTTAAAAGGAT